ATCTATAAATGTGTGAGACGTGGTCCTGGGTCACGTGACTGTGTGACTCATCGTCACGGTGAGGCTTTGGCTGCTCACAACACACAACTATTCATCTGACAAAGCCAACTTGACCTTGACACGGAGGTAGATGACACCTGTATCTATAAATGTGTGAGACGTGGTCCTGGGTCACGTGACTATGTGACTCATCGTCACGGTGAGGCGTTGGCTGCGCACAACACACAACTGTTCATCTGACAAAGTCAACTTGACCTTGACATAGTGGTAGATGACCACAGTATCTATAAATGTGTGAGACGTGGTCCTGGGTCACGTGACTATGTGACTCATCGTGACGGTGAAGCTTTGACTGCTCACAACACACAACTGGTCATCTGACAAAGCCAAGTGATACGGAGGTAGATAGCCACTGCATCTATAAATGTGCGAGACGTGGTCCTGGGTCACGTGACTATGTGATTCATCGTCACGGTGAAGATTTGACTGCTCACAACACACAACTGTACATCTGACAAAGCCAACTTGACCTTGACACGGAGGTAGATGGCCACTGTATCTATAAATGTGTGGGACATGGTCCTGGGTCACGTGACTGTGTGACTCATCGTCACGGTGAGGCTTTGGTTGCTCACAACACACAACTGGTCATCTGACAAAGCCAATTTGACCTAGACAAGGAGGTAGATGACCACTGTATCTATAAATGTGTGAGACGTGGTCCTGGGTCACGTGACTGTGTGACTCATCGTCACGGTGAGGCTTTGGCTGCTCACAACACACAACTATTCATCTGACAAAGCCAACTTGACCTTGACACGGAGGTAGATGACACCTGTATCTATAAATGTGTGGGACATGGTCCTGGGTCACGTGACTGTGTGACTCATCGTCACGGTGAGGCTTTGGTTGCTCACAACACACAACTGGTCATCTGACAAAGCCAACTTGACCTTGACAAGGAGGTAGATGACCACTGTATCTATAAATGTGTGAGACGTGGTCCTGGGTCACGTGACTGTGTGACTCATCGTCACGGTGAGGCTTTGGCTGCTCACAACACACAACTATTCATCTGACAAAGCCAACTTGACCTTGACACGGAGGTAGATGACACCTGTATCTATAAATGTGTGAGACGTGGTCCTGGGTCACGTGACTATGTGACTCATCGTCACGGTGAGGCTTTGGCTGCGCACAACACACAACTGTTCATCTGACAAAGTCAACTTGACCTTGACATAGTGGTAGATGACCACAGTATCTATAAATGTGTGAGACGTGGTCCTGGGTCACGTGACTATGTGACTCATCGTGACGGTGAAGCTTTGACTGCTCACAACACACAACTGGTCATCTGACAAAGCCAAGTGATACGGAGGTAGATAGCCACTGCATCTATAAATGTGCGAGACGTGGTCCTGGGTCACGTGACTATGTGATTCATCGTCACGGTGAAGATTTGACTGCTCACAACACACAACTGTACATCTGACAAAGCCAACTTGACCTTGACACGGAGGTAGATGGCCACTGTATCTATAAATGTGTGGGACATGGTCCTGGGTCACGTGACTGTGTGACTCATCGTCACGGTGAGGCTTTGGTTGCTCACAACACACAACTGGTCATCTGACAAAGCCAATTTGACCTAGACAAGGAGGTAGATGACCACTGTATCTATAAATGTGTGAGACGTGGTCCTGGGTCACGTGACTGTGTGACTCATCGTCACGGTGAGGCTTTGGCTGCTCACAACACACAACTATTCATCTGACAAAGCCAACTTGACCTTGACACGGAGGTAGATGACACCTGTATCTATAAATGTGTGAGACGTGGTCCTGGGTCACGTGACTATGTGACTCATCGTCACGGTGAGGCTTTGGCTGCGCACAACACACAACTGTTCATCTGACAAAGTCAACTTGACCTTGACATAGTGGTAGATGACCACTGTATCTATAAATGTGTGAGACGTGGTCCTGGGTCACGTGACTATGTGACTCATCGTCACGGTGAGGCTTTGACTGCTCACAACACACAACTGGTCATCTGACAAAACTTAAACTTTACTCTACTCTAGGCCTATAAGGCGGTGTTGCCACTGATCCATACACTGAGAACGAGAACCCCCACATTTCCCAGGTGGTTGTACTGTAGCAGCCTACAGTTGGAGAGAGCCTCCTCCTCCCCCCTAGGAACAACGGGACCTCGCCGCAGTGACCTTGTCTTGAACCAACAGGTGGTCCTGGTCCTCGCCCAGCCATCTCACAACCACTCTTGAAAAATGTTGTTCTTCTTCAATACGACTTTTGTTGTTCTAATAACCGTACTATTATGCATGCCTAAGGGATTAATTTTTTTAATGTGCCTAATACCAGCTCTATCCCCCAATGAATTCTACAAATATATAAAATACGTGGTTTATACCATTTTGACCTTATTATAATCGGAAATGAATAAAACTATTTTCAATACAAAAAGTTCCGATTCAAAAAAACATATGAAGTCACCATGTAGGCATTATTTCCACAGACGAGAAGCAAATCAACTGATGAAGTAATTTCCCAAGAGCTGATCCAACGTGATGGAATTGAAAACAAGATATTTGTTTAATTTATTAAACTATTTTTTATTGGCTAAACCAATAAAAATCTAAAAGCTCCAGTGCAAACCTTTTCTAAATTAATTATTGAAAACGTAAGAGAATCCTATTTATTAATAGGCAAGCTTGTTTATTGAAAACCTTGTTTCTCAGCTCGTGTGCATTACAGAGAAAATCTACGCATCATACTGTTAGAAAGATATTTGCCTGTAGATGTACAGAATCCCTTCAAATAACTTAAATGACATCCCCACCGTAGCAAATCTGCCGACTAAGCGAATTTCCATTCGCCTGAATTGATTATCAATCAAATCTATTTAAATAACATATATCAGACATCATACTGACATACTGATTGTGATTGAAAGACGGCGCGGCGGCGAGACAGTGATAGTGATACTGTGATACACTGATACTGTGGCAGTCTCTAAGAGGGGGGGGGGACAGAGTGTGGTGGGGGGGGGGAAGACAATGGAATGAATAATGCAGCTGCGATGGTGGGGGGAGGAGGGGTGACATTGTAGTTGACCTTGGCTGGGTAGAGCAATAACGAATAACACAAACACCTCACCGTCGCCGCTCCACGCTCCACCTCTGCCACTGAACCAGAGTTTTCACTTGTCAGATTAAAACTTATAACCGCTAATATGGTTAAGGCTTAGCGGTTAACAAGTTAGTTGACCACCTGTGATCAACCTTTGTTTAAAGTTGCAAACAGTTTATAGTTTTAGTTTTCACCCAGAACAAACCTTAATAGAAAACATCCCCTATTCATGAAACTACTTCTTTATAGTGAAGGCATAATGATACCTTTGACCATGGAGAGGAAGCATCTGTTAATACACATCAATCATTATACGTATCAAAAGAGAAGGGAGAACAAGAACATTGACAGCAGCACGCCTGTGAGCAGTTCATTCTATCTACAATGTTCAATTGAAATGAAAAATTTTGCAGCTGTTCCATTAAATTGAGTTATTTACTTCATATCGGAGACAACGTCAACCGTCTACAATTTAACTGTAAACAGCGGCAATTTAAAACTTCCACATTTACCAAACAAGTAGTTATCTCGTAATGACGTCACGATACAGTTTGTACCATTGGGGTAGGAGGAGGTCACGTGACGAGGGGAGGGGGTGGGAGATATCGAGCTGCAAGGTCACAGGGAGGGCGCGTCGCGGCGCGTAACCTTGGCAATGGTGACGTCACACGCCTACGCAGCGTCGCCAAACATTGAACCCATCAACACGACGCTTCAGTGGTGAACGCTAAGTAATGAAAATTTCTAAAAACGTTAAAAATCTACAAAGCAGACACGTCTAAAAATTGCAGAATAAACAAAAAGATTAAATATTCTAACACATACTGTGTTAATTAACTATAAATCTATATCTCAGTCAGTAGTCATAGACTGTTCATAGCTAACAGTCTATTTGGTAATATACTGGTTATAAAGTTGTCGAAACAACTAGTAAACATAAATACCCCCGCCGCAGCAAACCTGCCGACTAAGCGAATTTCCATTTGTCTGAATTGATTTTCAGTTAAATATATTTTAATAACATTAGGTTTAACGAGTACCTAGGTTTGCTGCTACAAGGAAACTAATAAAGTGTGTTTTTGAGTAAAATATTGATAGCTTAGTACAAAATAAATAAATTTGCCAAGTTTGATCAAAACATATCCATAAACAAGCAAACTACAACACTTGACAATATTCTCCATAAGAATAACATGGGAATTTTAAATTTACAATTTTTTTTAATTTTCTCCGTTACTAACAATCGAACAAAAATACTTTTATATACTAAATTATTTGTTTTTTTAAGCTCTTTAAAAAGGTCTAAAGAGAAATCGGGAAATTTTGTGTTTTGAGGGTCAAAAGTGAGAAAAACCAATTTTTACCCCATAAAACCCCCCGTAAAGCCCCGTTCCCATGGTCCGATTGTGCTGGTTCGCGAACTCATTCAAGTTTATCCCGCTTTACACCTTTAAACCAAATTTCATCAAAATCGGACAAAAATTACTCAAGTTATCGCGTTCACGGACGTATATATATATATATATATATATATATATATATATATATATATATATATACATATATAAAAATTTGAACGAATGGTGTTTTTGGCCTCTGGGGACATCAAAATGAAAAAGTAAATCAGTCCCGGGTCTAGGTCTTACCGTGCCACCTACGGTAATAGCTACTTCCCTATAGGGAAATTCGCTAAAATTCACTCTCCATAACCAACCGGACATAAAGTACGTTGAAATTGTCTCAGCACCTCCGAGTAAATACATTTATTCATGTACATGAATAAGTTTAATGGATTAAATAAACTTGACAAAATATATACTTATTTACGCTTCATGAATCAGAACTTACCTTCAGTCTTTTTTTGTGTGAAGGCAAACTCAAATGAGATCCTGAAACAAAAGATTATCGTTAAAATATGAAAATGTTGTAATGACAGTAGAGTACTTATATGAATTTGTACTAAACTAGGAAATCGTTTTAGATTCTTAACTATGGGTACAAAAAGGACCATAGGTTCGTCCAATTTCTTATCGCATAGTTATGTACCTTGCTTAAAGATCCTCAAGGAGATAGGTCCGCAACAGAGAAAAGATGATCAGAGGGTGGGAGAAAGCTCCCTCCTTGATAAAGTTAGGTCAGTAGGCTAGGGTAGGTCAGTAAGCAAGAAGTTCAGGTAACATTAGATTAGTAGAGGATTACATTAGGGTGAGATGTTAGTTAGATCAGTAAGGGTTATTTTACATTGAAATGTTACGTTAGTTCATACTGTATATGAACTAAGGAAACCTTAGGTCGAACGCAAGGTAGGAAGTTTACGTTATGTTAGAATATAAGGTATTGTTAGGTAAGAAGGCCAGGTTTAGACTAATTTAGGTTAGATTCCCTGAATTAGCTTCTTCTAGAAGTTATTTTGCGGACCCAAGATCCCCACACGAAAGAGAGATCACGAAGTAAGTGCGGCTCTAGTTACTTGGAATTTTCGACGTTATCAAACATTTGAGCACTCAGGGATGAATTCGAACCAAGTCCAAACACTACACAAAACACAACGTTTGGCATGTGTGAGGTTGACAGAACGTGCGTCGTGCGTTGTGCAGTACCACAGTACAGTATCACAGCACAGAGCACGGCCTACTGCCACTATCCAGTATCCAGGTCGCACATTACACAACTCGCAGACGAAGCCCTACACTGCCACACTCAGTGAAAGGAGCTATTTTTGCCACAGACGGGTTTCTATCGCTATTTTCTCTTTCCGTTCGATTATAAGAAGTATGACAAGAAACGCAAGAACTGCGGTGTTTCCCCGCGAATATCGCGTGTGTGGCATTAACTTTGCAATGCTGCGACAGACATTGGATCTTGTGACTGTCAGTTAGTTGAAACTTTGTAAATTGAAATCGATTGTAGTTACTGCAACCTATTACAAATCCTGAGTTATAGGGATTAAGGGTATCTCATTATTCGGTTTGCCTCGGAATCGAACCCTATAACAATGCTCAATTTGCGCACGGGTACCCTAACCTAATCACTGTCCGAGTCTATTTCTCAGAAAAATTACAACATTATCTACGTTAAACATTATAAGAGTTTAAGATGAGTGATGGACCAGTTTCAGCCGACGTTACTCACCAGACGACGTCATGTCAGGTGGTGAGTAACCGGAAACGCTAAGGTCGGCGACATACCGGAAATGCCCGCAGCTCCACCGACATTGTTATTTTTGGCGATTTGGTGTCATTTGTCTTTTTAAGCGAAAAGACGAGTAGGCGCTGACTGAGTCCAACATTGCACAATGCAAGTTGTAGCTACATAGTTTTAGGATAAAATTTCTTTTTACTATAATTAGTCCACGAAGATTTTTTTTAAACATTTGGACCCAAATAATTAATTTATAAGGTGGTCCTGACGGATCACCATTGTTAAGTTATTACTGTAATTACAATTGAACCTCTTTTTAATCCTGATGAAAACCCTCTGATCCAGGTTTTAAAATCTAATCACTTAAATCCCTCGTATTACTATGGGAGTTTCTTTGATTAATTTTAAAACCCGAATCAGATGGGTTTAATCAGGATTAAAAAGAAATTCAACTACTCAGGTAAAATATTGTTTTAAAAATTGAGCGAGTAAGCAAAATAATAAAAAGAAAATTAGGAATTACCGATACTGTGACGGAGTAAATCATAATAAAAATGGGTGTTAAGGGTCGGGACAGTTCCGTTTCATACTTTTGCTATAAATCTTCGAAATAGCGAAACAAAGGTTGATTAAAATTAGGGAAATACTTCGAACTTACGTACGCTTTCAGATGCAGTATGAACTACCACACCCAGCTACAAGGCTATGACTTCATTTTCATTATAAATAAGTAAATAATAAACATACAGTAAGTATATAAAAACATTATATTTCGTATCAAATCTTAGAAAAGCTCATGAGAAAAAAATGAATAGCTGAGACCACAAAACACAGTGCTTTACCACCGTGATCCCCCTTTCATTGTAAATTCCACTGGCGTATACAGTAACAACTAACCAATTATGGATTATTTTTTTACGGGGAATGCGTGAAACAATACCGATTGCGTTGCGTTCGACATCGACAGACGACAGACGCACTGCAAGAGCTGCAAGATGGCCACGGAGGTGAGTCAACGTAGCGGCTCAGTGAAGAAAGAGCTAAAGGTCAGGCAGAATGTCATTGTATGTTAAACAATTCGGAAAATCATCGTCATCGCCAACCGCCAGACGAATACGGGATACTGTGACGAGTTGTGGGGTAAAACAGGGATAAGGTGGGGAAAGCAGCTTATTGGGTACAACCGCCACTGCTAATATGGGACAGAACCACGCCCACTGCAAATAACCTCGACTGCATTTAGTACAGTAGATTTGCACACAGAACAAGCATAGAAATGCCACTTGAATCTATGTCTTTGGTGATATCATATCAATCATCCTTCGTGGAAGTATAATTGGAGTACTGTAGCCTGATAAATATTGTGAACAAGTTGGGAAGTGAAGAAGAGAGGAGGATCGGACAACGTGAAGCCGATTGTGAAACTCCTTTTATGTATGGTGAAACATCGACCATAGGTTTGTACTGAATCGGTGACTATGAAGTAAGAGTCAGTACTGCAACTTAAAAGTGGTTATTAGTGCATCTTCTGCTATATGTCTGCAACCTGGTTTATAACCTATCTGGGTTGTAGAGTCTAGCTTATCCGGCCGGTTAGTGCTCATGCGTAAAGCACAACCATTCACACATTGAACTCTCTCCCCACAGGTACAATTTGTACAGGCACTTTTGTACTTTGTCACAAAACCAGCTTAAAACCCACTTATTACGGAGGAGCTGCACGTAACCTAATGTTGTTGGATCGTCTTGTTTCTGGCGCTGAACGCACTTTAAGACGTGGTCCATATTGCACCCGGTGAAATTCATTCTCAACTGACAAGACAGTATAAGCATGTGGTTTTCCAGAAAGTACATTTCATACAAGTGGAAGGTATGGGTAAGTCAGTCGTGATGTTATCGTAACTCGTGGACGGTAGGACTGTTCTAGGACTGTATCCTCTTCTCTCATACAGGGGTTGTGCCTGATGACCTTGTCTAAGGATACGGATTGCGGGATGTGAGACGGCGAGGTCGGAGTTACATAAACCCGCGGCCGGGCGGGCCTCGCCGGGATTCCAGGGGGGGAAAGTATGTTGCTCAATACACACTGGCAGATACCGTTACGTCATTTGCAACCCGGTGTCCGCCTCACGCTGCACCGAGTCACCTCCGCGTGGACAAAGAGAGGTTCAACTCCGATGTGTTAGTAATAAGATAACTACTACTGGAAAATGCTCAGGTTGGACGAACTGGCCGAATTTGTATCCTAACCACACTTTCCTATAAAATATTGTACAACATATGAACTGCGTTTATCTAAACTTGTAATTTCCCCTTAGAAGGAAAAATGTGCTAATCTTGTTCAAGCTACTAACGTCGACAGTTAGATAATGTCAACAATTGATGCCCCAATAAATGACATTTTGGCCAAGAATCTATTTCACTTGGAATCGAACCAGCTTCATATTTGAATGCTAGCATAACCACTCGGCTATCCAAACATTTATCATACAATATGAAAATTAGAAAATGCTTAGGACCAATATTTATTCGGCACCGACACACAAATAAGCGTTTTTAAGGAAAATATGAATGAGAGATACGTGTTGAATAAATTGTATACTATATATTGGAAGCAAAAGATCAGCAGGTTCTTTAGGACAGTTGAGTCCAGTATCGCACCAACAAAACCTAGAGATTTTTCTCAGGATTGATCCGGCAACATTTTGATTACTGGGCGACTCATTTCATTAGGTCTACTAAGTCATTTTTAGTCAAACCCAAACTAAGTGATTCAATTTGCATCCTGATTACTTTACAAGCCATACAATTTGGTAAAAGAATTAAGTGCCATTTGCAGAAGACCCATAAAATTGAAACATAATTTAGACTAATTTTTCGAATGAGTATCATATCACATTGAAATAAAAACAATTTCGTTAAAAAATAGGTCTTTTGGAGACGATTCCGATATTTATTTAAATTTGTCTATTTATTTAGGAGATATTAAAGTAGATCACAAAGTAAAAAAATACATCGTACTAACATGAAAGTATGATTTATCCTTCTTGATCAAGTAAATATAATATGCTACATTATGTCAGACCAACATCCTGAATCTGCGACCAGTTGATCACATTACATTCTAGTAACAGGGGACCGAGCGTTGGTGTATGGTTTGTAATATAATTAATTGGTTTGGAATGTAGGAACATATAAAAAATTCTTATGATTTTCAACATATCGCATTCCAAAAAGTTATGAACAAAATTAGATCGTATAATATCTGTGCTGAAAAAAACATAAACTACGCTATGTTTGAAAATAACCATTCATAGCTTTACCTAAAAAAAAGTGTAAATATGTCAGACAAACAAACCGAATTTGTATCTTATATTCATAATATAACATCGGACAATACATTTGTGTGGAATAATTTTAGCCCGGTGAATAGTCAGACCCCAATTAATATCAGTATAAACATTTGTTTAAAGGTTCAACTTCAGTTTACATCAAACAGTAATAAACAGTGAGTGCGAAATCTTGGCAGTGCCAAGTGCACGCAAAGTGCCTTCAACTCCCGAGACGCAATATGATTGCTGTATCCATATTGCCTATCTAACCCCTGCAAATCGCGGTCCCTACTTATACATCGGTCCTGGGCATAGTAAACTCGCTTTTACGGGTTGACGAAACCACGAGTGTTTATGCTGTATGTATATTTCAGCTACATTTGTTCCAACAAGAGAATAAGAGTTACGAAGTCCCG